TTCAGCTCACTAACAAAATGACAGCTCCATCCTTTATAAAGGACTAGGGGTAAAGAAATGCCGTTCTGCAGCAGTGCGTGCTTTTCAGGAGGCCTATAGATCCTGGTGGCAGCAAGAGCCATATAGCATGTCCAAAGAGCAGCATAGAGAGCAGAGAGACAAGGTCTGTGTGCAGCTCCCCCACCTACCTGCTATGGTTTATAACCAAGTATTTGTGCATCTAAATCTCACTGAATGCAGCAGGATTAAAATACTTACTGGTTCTTTAAAAATCCAGCCCTGTGGCTGTCCCTTCTACTGACTTTACTGGCAAGAGCCTAACTGGGTAGTATAGAGCCCAAGCCTTGCCAGCAGCACAGCCAACCTGTGCAGCTCTTTTGGAATCTGCATCTGCCAAACAACAACATGAGGAAAAAAAAACAAGTAGGTTCAACATTTCAAATGTGTCATTTCCCAAGATAACTATCAACTGTTAAGAACATTTATGTAATCAAAAAGCAGTACCAATGGTCAAAGACAGTCCTTCAGCTGTCCCTAGTCAGCAACAAAATTTCTAAAGCAGTGAGAGATTGCCTAATTCAATCTGAAGGTGAGAGATTTCTCCCAAACACACGTTTTCTGCATGATCTACAAGATGGCAACTAAATAATTCAAAACTTAACCAGATCTAGGTCACTGGCAGAGGTTTGTTTTTCAGCAAGATGTCCCAGAGAGATTGGCTATGTTTTCTTAATTTGTTGCTGAATTCCAACATCATACTTAAGGATACCCAATAGCAGATGGAGTGGGCGAGATGAGAAGTACGAAGGATATTGACAAAGGCCAACTTCAGCTCGTCAGTGCTGGGCTCTGTCTTACTCTCGCAGAAGATATGAACTTCAGGTGCAGAGAAATCTTGTCTGTGACCGCTGAAGGTCTACAGAATAATTGTGAGAGATGTGCAAGAAGTCTCAGGTAATGCAAGCTGTCTTCTATTTGCAGTGCATGGATCCCCTCATGCACCTCTAGGGGTGCATGCATCTCCAAAAGAGATTAGATTCAGCTCTTCCAGAGGATGAATCCATAGAGTGACTTCTCTTCGTTGGCTAGGGAAGGAGTTCTAATGGCAGTGCCACTGCTACATGGCTAGTAACCTTTCTGAGCTTCTCCTCAGGCTCATTAGGCATATGCAGTTCACAGGAGAATTGCAAAGGCAAATCTTTAACCCTGAAATATTTTTTGCATGTTTGCAGCCACTACAAGAAGCAGTCCAGGGTCCAGTGGTTGACCTTACTTTGGGGTATGTCATTTTTTTCCTCTCCTCTATTTATTTGCATGTAATAATTAGCAAGTTATATAGAGTCAGGAAACGGTGTCAGGACAAAGTTCAAACTAATTTCCCTATTAAAGGTCTTGCACAACCGTTTTTACAGCAGACCTTTAATGACTTGTTTAGTCCCGACACAAGGCTGAGATTACAGGTATTTTCAGGTAACCTGGGCAGGTCATCAGTACATTCTAGAAAAAGAGTCTTCTTTTTCAGATTTCTTTATCAAAGGAGATTGCAAAGATTATGCTTGCTCCAGAGAAACTAGAAGGTGCTGGATCCTCAAAGGGATAAAAAAATCACATGAAAAGCAATTTGTCTCTACTTAGCACATGAATAATTTCTCACAGCTGCTTTAGTACAAGCAAGCCACTTGCATCCTTAAGTACTAGAAATGCAACAAACTGTTAAATGTATAAGCTAGTATTAGGCATCTATCAACTTTATCACACCCCTACGTTAAAAATTACATATGAAATAAACAGTTTATTCCTTTGCTCAAGGTTTCCAGACAGATTAAGTCAACCCAGGGACAATAAACTTCAAAGAAACACTATGCAACAGCTTAAAAAGGTTGTATTTAGAGGAAGTACAAGCTCTCTAGCCATGAAGTATCCAACTTCCAAGAACCTGATCTGTGTAGGATACCTCAAACTGCACATAAGAACTGAGACACTAATACATTACGTTTTAAAATTCTAATATTTCATGCCTCACTCCCCAAATTCCATATCATATGTTCAGCAGAACAGCATGGGAAAGGATGAGAGATTTTAGATTAGAACTGTTCAATTTCTATCAGTCAAGGCCCTATGGATCTTGTGCAGATCCCATGCTGTCATATCAGTGTTTTTAAAGATTTTTTTCTTTTTAGTCGCTGACTTTAATGGGTGTTTTGTACCACTACTTTCTGCAGAATCAGACCTTCAATGCATCAGATGCTAATGTCTTCACTGGTTAAAACTTAACTGTCTGGGAGAGGTCAGTACAGCTACTGGCCCTATCCAAATCATTATCAGCAATTAAAGCTGAGACAGATATTCTCAAGATTCTTCATCTCTAAACTTCTTATTTCTTTCCCACCTAAAAACAGATGACAGGAGCAGAGGTCTGAACTTGAAAATCTGGAGTGTTGATTTTTTTTTTTTCTTAACACCCTCCACTGCCTGCATTCCTCTCCCACTGGCCCAGTAACTACCTCGTGATTTGATTGCTGTGCACACCATGAGCCATGTATTTGTAATATGCAACACCCTGGGACATGCAGCCATATCCACCAGCCATAGCAAAAGCCAAACAATGGAGCCACTGTTTCAGCCTTGCCTCCTGGCCCACCTTCTCAGCTCAGGTCTTTGCCTCTCAGTTTCCTGTCAGTGCTACTAGATCTGAGCAATCACTGCAGTTCTCCTTAAAGCTCCACTTTCTGGAGTCATAGACTGTTAACAAACATATAAAAGAAGAAGCCTGAAAACAGGAATTGAGGTTTTGGAAGACAGGAAGATAACCAGAAGCGCAACAGATGGTAAATTCTAACCCAAACTATTCTATGATCCTATGAGTCAGAATTTTTAAGCCAGCCACATAACTCTGGGCACCTAAGCATAGTTTGGGGGAGGTTGGGGAGAAGATATTTTTGTATATATTTGTACAACTGACAGCTTTTTACTGGCAGTGTCAGAGAGGCATAGTAAAAGCCTCCTGTTAACCTGCAAACATTTTATGAGATCTGCTCTTTGGATCATGGTGTTGCTCAACCTTAAAGTCAGACAGACTCCTGTGTGTTTGTATAAGCCTCCAAGCTTCCTCATCGTGCACAGTTCTCCTCCTCCAAAGCAGGATGCCCTCCTTCCTGCACAGAGCTGGCAGCTGCCCACAAGCCAGCTAACCCTGCAGCAACAAGGCTGCTAACCACCTGCTCCAACAGCACTCCCACGCACAGGCTGGCACAGCAGACTCCTACCTAAGTACAGATTTTAACCAAAGCCACTCATCATGCAGCTCAGCTCTCTCCCCTTCCTCACACACACACACAGTCAGCTGTCACTCTTGCAGGGCAGGGGGATGCTGTAGCCATCCCCCCCCCCCATACTGCAGTTAAACCAAACAGCAGCCTTCCTGCTCTTTACTGCTACAAAGGATTGTACAGAAGAGGCCCGAGCACAGCAAAGCTGCCGTATCATACGGCACCAGCCAGCACCTTACAGCAAATATCCACCAGGCCATGGCAGCACACTGTCTTGGGGCATCAGTAAATTCTGGACATGTTCTAAAACACATGCTTGCCAGCCAGCACTGCACAGTGAGATCCCAATGCCTTGTTCTCACTTGACTTGTAGGCACCTGCAAGGCCTGGCTCTGCAGCAGCCCAGGGCTTGTTACACAGCTCTCTCCTGCCAAGGAATGGTTCCTGGTGGTTTATTTCCTGCCTGCCTTCATTCTTGTGGGAACAGGAGTCTGTGGCCACCCAGTTAGCCCTGCTTTGTGCTGGAGAACATGTAAAATCATGTCATCCTGTGGGATTTGCTAGCTCAGGTCTGCATTTGCCGATGCTTACACTATTTGAAGAATGTCTTAGCATTCACCTGGCTTTGACCTACATGAATGTTTCTGATCCATGCTGTTAAAGAGGGCTGCTAAAAATCTCTTCGCATACATTTGTGTCAAAGGACCATGATTCAAGCAAAGAAGCTGGCACAACTAGACAATGCTTGCATGGCTTGGCACTTCCTGGCAAAATGGAAGTGCAAGCAGAGGCTGACATGCAATTGATCCTGGGCCAGAATTAGAATATTAAAGAAGCAGGGTTACATATAAACGCCCTGCAGCTTCATGATTTGGTCTAGAAAAGTTTGGTTTGGAGCTTTTGGATAAATTCAACCCCAAAAGCCAGAACGCAGATGCAGACCTGCAGGTCTACATCCTGCTGAATTACTGGCCACATTTCCAAAAATCGCCCAAATCACTGCCCTTAATTCTCCCATCAAGACTCACCTATTCTTCTAAGCTCTCCCACACACAGACCTCAGAACAAGGAATGTTTCACATTTCAGGAATAGTTTCAGCTGCAAGCTTTGGGTTTAGAAACTGGTCACAAAAGAGCTCTGGACCTCAGTCTCCTTGTCTGGTATTGCCCATTACAATTGGAGATAAGAGCATTTCCAAGACATGCACCCATGTGACCTGCCCCCAAATCTCAGTACACTCAGAGCTAAATTCCAGGATCACCACACTTAAAGGAGACTTTAGACTCACCAGCACCCAAGTCAGCAGTGCTGTCTGTGTGTATGCTGGCTAACTGCTTCTCATAATTGCATTTTACTTCGGCGGGTCCATCTGTGTTATTTTTCTGTGGCTTGTGGCCATATGTTCAAGAGGAATAGTGCAGTGAGAATTAAAAGCTGTATGACTGCACAGAAGCATGCAGCATGTAACAGCTCTGTATGTGCACGCATACCTAGCACCCCCCACCCCCCCCCCCAAATTAAGCACTGCACTTCAGTCAATGTCAGGCAGACAGTGCTCCCCAAGGGACATCAGTTTCTCCCTCCTGGGGTCTCTTGGCTGAAACAGGCCATTGAGTGGGTGTTCAGGGAGGGAGCTGCTGGCCACTCAGACCAGCAGTGCCTCCGGTTTGAGTGCGCACAGGCAAGCTTCCCTCACTGTCCTCCGACACATGGCCTGGGATTCAAGGTCACAGAGACATCTCACAGCCCAAAGGCATCCTGCTCTGATCTCAGGAACCCTGTCAAAGCAAAGCTTTAATTTCTGGAGCATCCTCAAACCACTCTTCCTTTCAGCATGCCCTTCTCTTCCTTCCCTTCCTCCACTTCTAGCAGCACTGCATTCTGTGTACTCCCTGCGAGAAATAGGGCAAATATAACCTGATTAACCAAGGGGATTTGGGCAGGAAGGGGCAGGGGGGAGGGGCAAGTTTAATAGGCAGAGAAACACAGAGCCTTTTCCTCTCACATTAGCTCTTCACTATTCAATACTAGAAGTGTTCTGCAGTGACTCTGACTTTGGCATTTGCTATAAAAGCTTCTCATAAACTCTGTTTCAGCGTGCAGATATCAAGAGAAAGAGAACATTCAGTCTGACAAGCTGAAATGTCTTTTAGGCTCCAGAGCCAGCCAGTAGCTTAAAATCATTTGAATGTGAGCCTGTGGCTCCATTTTAAAACATAAGGGTGCCTCCTGCCATTGTTCATCTATTGACAGTTTGAATTCAGTCTTTATTTGGCTAAGCTGACTTTGAAGCATGGTTTAGGAGTTAATGCAAGCTTTCTCCATTGCATGTACAGAAAAATCTCTGGCTGGCAGCAGTTCATACAGGCTCACATGAATGAGGAACATGTTACACAGGCTCTGGCTGCCCTCCAAGTCCATTTTTGTTATTCTATTTTCTTTCCATCCATTCTTGCTTGCTTACCACAAGACACAGATGTTTCAGGTCAGAAATGCAAAGCTATCTGCATGCAGAAAAGATGCATGACCTTCCAAGGAGCTATTTTTGTCTGCTCTTATATACCTAAAAACTCTTACAGAGAATATAGTCCTTAGGGAAATGACAGCTATCTTTTTTTTTTTTTCTCTTTTTTTTCCTTTAGCTACCTTCTGCTTATAAAATAAAATTAAACAGAACAAAATTAAAAAGCCTAGGGTGTAGAAGTTTCTAAGAAATAAGACAACAACAACTTTCCCCTGGGGGATAGCTCCATGTCCACCCCAGCAGTACATACTGATGGCAGTACATACGATATAAACAGTATTGAAAATCTCTGCCTGGTAACCTCTCAGTACAGCACCTGCCTTTCACAGTCATGTGTGCCCACTTCCCACTTGCAAAGGCTCTGTGCTCACCCACAGAGAACTGCCAACAACCACCACAAAAACAAAGACCTAAAAGAGTACCTTGTGCAGAAACAGCCAATCTACTTTTCCCACCTGAGAACAGCGGAAAAGCTCAACCCTGTAACACAAGCCAAAGTCACCCCTCGGGACTGCTATCTTAAGGTTGCACCAGCACAGCTGCAGCTCTTTTGAAGAGCCTCAGGTGTGAACCAAGTGTGGGCACCGAAATGAAAGCAGCTGGTTGCCTACCTCCATCCTATTGCTAAGTTTGTGGAACTGCAAATTAAACTTCATCTTCCTTCTCCAAGGACCAGATAGTCATTTATGATATAATCATCTGCAGGCACACACATTTTCCATATTTACTGGGCATTATCTGAGAACACCAACATGAGATAAACTATGAGGCTGTTGTGGCATCCAGGCTTCAAAAGGAGACTACAAAACTAGAATGTAATTCTCTCTTGATCTCTGGCCTTCTCACTTCAGTCCAGGCACAGAACTGGGTTTTATTCACAAGGACCCACAAAGAGCTACAGACACTAATACATACATTACAAGGTCCAGAAAATGTCAGGAGCTGCAAAAGTTATGCATTATAGCACTGATATCTTCAATTAAAGCTTTGAAGAGAGGTATCCTGAATGCTGAAGTGTGTCTTCCATGAAAACACAGACTGAACTGTTTTCAATGTCTAGGACTTCCTTGACCCTGTAACTTTATACTGCTAAAGCAAAAGCCTCCTTTTGTAGAGTCCCAACTGTGACACTCCCATCTCCTAAATGGATGAAAGAGATAAAGGGACAAATTCACATCTTTGTTGCGCACTGCCTCTATAGAGCAGGCAGGGCATTCAGTCTGTGTGTCTGTAATGTTGAGATGTACTCATAGTTTTCAATAGTGGTTACATGGCTCAGTAACTTCTCAGCCATAGGATGCTGAGTTTCCAGCAATATAACTTGGTATTTTGATTCACAGAAATGAAAGTTTGGTCACAGTGATTTTTGGATGGGAGAGAATATATAACCTGCTATAATTTTGAATACAAAGAGGGTCAAACACATAGGTAAAGAACTGCAATGCTAGAAGAGTATCTCCCTCTGTAGGGAAGGCAATACTGCGTCATTGAAAGCTTGTCTTTGCAGGACTCTGTAGCTCCTTACCCTAAGCTAACTGGCTTGTTGGCATGAGATGTGCTGAATGGGGATCCTGGAGAAATCAAACCTGACAGCTGCAGAATTAATGTGCATATTAAAATAAGGGCAAGGGGATCTCTACTCCAGATGGAGTGCAGGGACATGCCTCTGACCTTTTGGTGCTAAACCTGCCTGCCCTCTTGACTGGCAAGTAGCCAGGCAGCAGCCTGCAGCCCTCCTCCTATATCTCTCCAGCTCCTTACTGTAATTTATAGAAAGTCTCCACTTACTGCACCCTGCTAGGCACTCAAGTACAAGTTAGGTAACAGTTACAGTTCTGCTACAGCCAGTTTAGAAGGCAGCAGCAAGGATGAATTAATGGTTACACTCCTCTTGACGGTCAACAGGCGCTGAACTGGATGAGATATTTTTGTGATTTTGTTAGGTGAAGACTGAACAGCAGCCCTTGTCCACAGGAGTCTTTCCATCTCTCTGACCATGTGATTAATTTGAGCATCCCATTTCCTTCAGTTCCTAAGTAACTGGGTAAGTCGTCAGAGTTGCATCAGGGAAAAGGGTTTGGCTTGGAGAATTCTGCACAGTGACTCATACTTCCATGAGTAAGCTAGGCAAATAAGCAAGCTAGCTTGCTTCTCTAAGCTTCCTCAGAGAAGTAAAGCAAAATCACATATTCTGCTTAGTCCAGCTATCTAGAGCAATGATTTAGGAAGCTATTGCAAGAAATAGATTTCTTCAGCTTTGTATTGAGAAAATCATTGCAAGAAATACAGTCTTAATCTATCTTTATCTATCTTTATCTAGTTTATCTAACTGAATACATAACCCATTGTACTTATGTTGTACTTACAACAACATTGTACATTGTTGTACTCGCAAACACAACCAACCTTTTAAGGGGAAAAAGAAAAAGCAGTGTTAACTTGTAAGGTCCAAGTATTGAAACATGTCTGCTAGAAAACAGTCTGCAATCAAAACCATACATCTGACAAAAGGGCATTGTGGAAATCTGGGATCTTCTGAAATTGACAATTATTTACATGGGTCTCCACATATATTACTGGTGCACATCTAAAAGTAGGTTGCAGAAACACATATGTATAAATACCCAGAAATGAGAATTGCATCAACTAGCTCCCTCTCAACAATGACAGTGCAAAGAAAAAGAGGGTGTGAAACTGCAAAAGCACTGGATCTTTGCAGTACCAGCATCCTTACCATAACATGCATGCATGGAAGCAGCCAAGGAGAGGGACCCAGAGGTATATGTACCATGGCTAACCAGTTATGTGCAGAGATACCTGTTAGTGCAAGCCAAGGTGAAACTCATCTTTTAGCTTTTAATTTTCTTAGGAGGTCAGCTCAAATGGATTGATGTGGCTATGCTGTCCAAATCTGAAGAACACAAAATACGGATTCTTACGGAGTAGGAACCAACTTCCTATATCTTATGCTGATAAGTATTTCAAAATAGCAAGAATTCTGGCTCTGGGAGCTTTTATGATGTGGGCAATTTAGCAGAATATACCAGACTTTTGATGCCAACCTCCATTTTGGAGTCCAGATCTTTCTGGTTTAGGTAAAAATCCTCCATCATTTTCATTTTGCTTTATGAAACTGAAGTGTTTCACAATTACCTAATACCTACAGTACCACCATCAGGTTGGTAGATAAAGACCCTTCCAATTTTACAAAGGAGAAATTAAGCTGTTAAAGCTAAAGGAAGTTGTTTAGGTCTCAGAATAAAAAAAAAGGAAAGACAGGTTTGAAACATGATATAGCTATGTCTAGTGCCAGGTCTTTCCCTCACACACTGACATATGAAAGCAAAGCCCTTGATGATGTCAGAGCAAAAGCAGGACTGATCATGCTGGGAATAACACGATTTTTAGGGGCAGGTTAGACCTCAAATCTCAGGTGGAGCAGAGAGATTCCACTAACCTTTCAAGGGCCATTCAGCATTAACGGTGGCTTTGGGTTACTGCTAACCTCCTAGCTGAGCTGTGGCTCATACAGCAAGTATGGGCAGGTCATGGTTTGGTGTCGTTATTCACCCCAGCAGCACCATGAGATTTGGCTTAGTCTGTCATGAGTCAGGACCTGAGCAAATAGCAAATGTAGAAATTAAATATCATCAGATAAAACCTTTTGTATACTAGCAATATTGAGAGAAATTTACTAGCACTTTTATTGAAAATACCACACACATTGAACTCACCTTATATAGCTGTCTTTGGACTTTATTTTTGTGCTAAAGGTTTAATCAGTATCTTATCGTTTAAAAACAAACATACTGTTTAATGAGAATGTACATCGTTTCCCTCTGTTATCAAACAATGCCTGATCAAATGCCACCTCTTCACTGGCCAGTGAAAAGGCCATTTGTAACTCCTGGAATAAAAATACAAATGTTTCCACATCCAGCAACTTCTTTATTTTTCATGTTTAATCTTGGATGGCCACACACACAGAGTAGCAGTCATATGCTCAGTGTCCAAATGGAGACCATTAACAAGTGGTGTCCCTCAGGGGCTGGTGTTGGGACCAACCGTGTTCAACATATTTGTCGGTGACATGGACAGTGGGATTGATGAGCTCCCAGCAAGTTTGACGATGACACGGTTGATCAGTTGATATGCTGGAGGGAAGGGGATGCCATCCAGAGGGACCATGATATGCTTGAGAGGGGGGCCAATGCCAACCTCATGAAGTTCAGCCAAGCCAAGTACAAGGTCCTATACCTGGGTCGTGGCAATCCCAGGCACAGCTACAGGTTGGGAGGAGAAGAGATTCAGAGCAGCCCTGCAGAGAAGGACTTGGGGTGTTGCTCAATGAGAAACTTAACATGAGCCAGCAGTGTGTGCTCGCAGCCCAGAAAGCCAACCATATCCTGGCCTGCATCAAAAGGAGCATGACCAGCAGGTCAAAGGAGGTGATCCTGCCCCTTTACTCTGCTCTTATGAGACCCCACTTGGAGTACTGTATGCAGTTCTGGTGTCCTCAATCTAAGAAGGACATGGAACTGTTGGAGCAAGTCCAGAGGATGATCAGGGGACTGGAGCACCTCCCATATGAAGATAAGCTGAGAAAGTTGGGGCTGCTCAGCCTGGAGAAGAGAAGGCTGTGTGGAGACCACATACCAGCCTTCAATATCTGAAGGGGGCTGGAGGGGGACTCTTCATTAGGGACTGTAGTGATAGGACAGGGGGTAATGGGTTCAAACTTAAACAGGGGAAGCTTAGATTATATGTAAGGAAGATGTTCTTTACTCTGAGGGTGGTGAGGCACCGGAACAGGTTGACTAAAGAAGTGGTAAATGCTCCATCCCTGGCAGTGTTCAAGACCAGGCTGGACAGAGCCTTGGGCAACATGGTCTAGTGTGAGGTGTCCCTGCCCATGGCAGGGGGGTTGGAAGCAGGTGATCTTAAGGTCCTTTCTAACCCTAACCATTCTATGATTCTATGGATCTGTGAAAGCTCATATGGAAAAGAGGGCACGCAGGCTGAAGAAGGACCAAGTTTCTCCAGAGAGGCCCTGTCACATTTCAAACATTCCCATCACTCTATCAACACCACCTCCTACCTGTGATGAAAGGCAGCATGAAAAAAGAAGAGGAAGAATAAAACTCCTTATGCATACAAGTGAGGAACCTTATCCATACAAGTGAGGAACCTTATCCATACAAGTGAGGAAAGTCGGCCCCATCCCTACAATCAAAATCACTTAAAAGAATACATACAGACCTGGCCTCCATCTTCTAAGTGCAAGAAAAATGCCCTTAATTTACCCACTGAGCTCTGTTTGTGTTGTTCTGAGCCTTCTCTGATTGAAGCTCTCTCAGGCAGAAAATCAATGTCAATCATGCCACATGACTGCTCTCCTCCTGAGCATCTACCACTGCTACTAAGATCACAAAGGACACACAAAAGGAAAAATTTGGCAGTTGCAGCCTTCTTCAAAACACAAAACTGGGAGCAGTGGATGATACACCAGAAGGCTGTGCTACCATACAGAAAGACCTGAACAGGCTGAATTGTTGAGCAGAGAGCTGGGCAGAGAGCATCCTGATGGAGTTTAACAAAGGCAAGTGCAGGGCCCTGAACCTGAGTAGGAGTAACCTCATACACCAGTACAGGTTAGGCGTTAACCTGCTGGAAAGCAACTCTGCAGAGAAGGACCTCGGAGTCCTGGTGGCTAAGGTAACCATGAGCAAGCCATGTGCCTAGGAGGCCAACAGTATCATGGGCTGCATTAGGAAGGAAGATTGCTGCTAGCAGGTTGAGGGAAGTGATCCTTCTCCTTTGCTCTGCTTGGGTGAGGCAGCATCTGGAGTACTGTGTCCAGTTCTGGGCTCTTCAGTACAAGACAGACAAGGAACTACCAGAGAGGGTCCAGCAGAGGGCTACAAATATGATTAAGGGATTAGAGCATCCCTCTTATAAGAAGAAGCTGAAAGAGCTGAGCTTATTTAGCATGGAGAAGAAACAACAGAGATCTTACCAATGCATACAAATATCTTAAGGGCAGGCATCAAAAAGATGGAGCCAGCCTCTTTTCAGTGGTGCCCAGTGACAAAATAAGGGGCAAGAGGCACAAACTGAAACACAGGACGTTCCATCTGAACGTGAGGAAGAACGTCTTTGAGGGTGGCAGAGCACTGCAACAGGCTGCCCAGAAAGGTTGTGGAGTCTCCTTCTCTGGAGATATTCAAAACCTGTCTGGACACAATCCCGTGCAACCTGGTGTAGATGAATCTGCTTTGGCAGGGGAAGCTGGACTAGGTGATCTCCAGAGGTCCCTTCCAACCCCAACCATTCTGTGATTCTGTGTGATTCTGTGAAAATACCACTTACTCTACATTAGTTAAATATTTTTAAAATGCTCATTGATCTATCCAGCCAGTCTTGCCTTAGAAGCCTCTTATTTTACATTTAAACTCTTCAGAAGTAAAATATTTTAGAGGGAGAAAATATTTCTTCTTAATCATCATTCCTGTCAAATGTTAATTTTCTGTCCTGCCAGATGCCTGGAACCCAAACTTTGGATAAAATGTTTAGTCCCATTCATACAAAGCCACTGTAAATACAGATTCCTGGGATGCAAAATTAAACTTCCTAATCCATCCTTGAGAATTCTGATACAAGATGCTCAGTGAACCCAGCATAACAGAGAATGACAGAACTATGTTATATGGTTTCCTTTTATTCTGCAATCATGCGGTGTTAGGCTTACTCAGCATCCACCTGCACTTTCCCTTCCTTAGCTGCTGGTCTTCTATTTCATGACATATCTCACAAGCATCACTCATTCCCCAAGCTGCAACAGGACACAAGACGCTTCTAGTTTTTCAACTGATGGGTCATTATATTTAATTTCCTTTGGTGGAAGTGCTGATTGTTATAATAAGAATCAGAATTCTTTATTTTTCTGACATGTTTCATACAAACCTCCTTATTCTATGTTTGAAGATTTTTTTAGATGTTTTCTCACCTTTGTTTTAGTTTCTTTTGTTTTGCCAAAGGACTGTCAAAGAAACGATGAGGCTTTGGGCTACCATTCCTGTCAGATCACCACAGCAGGAGGGAATTGTCACTGGGATAGGCTGTGACAAGGTGTTAGCTGCCCTAAATAGAAGCATAAACTTCCTTCAGTTGTAAAGCAGAGTTTGGTAGATAAATACAAGCCTTCGGTGTGATGAAATGTATCTATCCTCACACCATCTGCTCTGGTCTAGCATGACCAAGGGCCTTGTTTTACACTTGCATGCATTGTGAGTTTGATGAGGTCTGGGGAGATCAGGACCTGCATGGCAAACTCCTCATGGGTAAATTAGCTGAGTCTAGTGATTGAGAAGTACACTATCTAAAATGACTTTAGAAGACAGAAAAGACATCCCAAACAAAACAAAAATGGAAAGGCTGATATGGGAAGAGGAAGACAAAGGAATTAAAGGAAGGCCTGTTATAGCAAGATAAGAACCTCAAAAGTCAAGTACGCCCTAGAAACTGCAAATAGATATTGACAAAAATCAGTTAGAGTTAGAATCCCTGAAGGAAACTAAGACAAACATCACAAAGGTACCACAGCTACACTAAACAATAAGTAAATAAATAAAAATAAAAGACAGTGGGATCACTGTAAAACAAGGATGAGAAAATAAAGCTAACTCAGCTACTCACACAAGATTAAATTAATGCTTCCCTGATTTTCATTAAGAATGAACATGTTAATCCATGAAGATGGGATGCCTAAGGGGATGCGTAGAAGGGAAAAACTGATACAAGATAATAAATGAACACAGCCAGCTGGTGAGCAAAACTCGGCAGAGTCTATCTACTATGCTCCAACCAGAGGAACCAGTCATTCTCAGTCCCAGAACACTGACTCACAGTAAACCACAAACCCAGGTAGGTGCAAAGACTAAAAGTGAATTTACTGACTTGGAGGCATTACCACAAGACCAAAGAACAGCAAGCGTTTAAAAAGTGAGCACAGCGAAGTGGGTTGGGCCTGTGCTTTTTGTCTGTGCAGTTCTTCAGGAAAACTTGCAATGGGAAGTTTAACTACAAACATGAAATTCAATGAATAGAGGGATAAAAGGTAGCAGGGGTTTACTAAAAGCCAGTTTTGTGAGACAACCCTGCAGCATGGTACAAA